AAACCCTGAAAGAAATAGCATTTACAGTGTTTATTTGTTGTTAAGGGGATTTGAAACGGTGTTAAAAAACATCTTTCTCATGTTAAAGTATGACAAAGTAAATAACAGTAATCCTGTTACTTGATATTGAAACACTTCTACCCAATAATGGACCAAGCTTGAATTCTTTCTATTTACAAAGTAACAGATAAGGATTATTACTCCTACTTCATAAATTGGCAAAAGGAGCATGGAAAAGTGAGGAGTTGTGGCTTTTTCTGGCTTGGACTAGAAATAGATTCTTGGTCCCAGTATTCTGAGACTGGAGGTAGAGAGTTTAACAGATACTTTTTGTACACATTTCATCCCTTCCTCACTTCTGTGCAACAGCTCATAGCAAGTATGCTTTTACCAAATTTTCTTCCAAGCTTAAGAGCTCACTTCATGTTACAAATTTACTTCCAGTTCTGTTTTAATACAGCTCCTTCACTATATCCTCACAGCAATTACTCCTATAGCATAGTGTTTCAAAGAAGTTTCTATTTAGCTTTTGACAATTGGCACAGTTTTCAAACTTACTCAGTTAATGTGCAAGGATTACCTTCTAAAAGAGTCCATAAAGCACTCCTGATTCCCTATAACTTCACCACAGGGGATACACAAGAAAACTCCCTCCCCCCTGCAGAAAGAAGTATGAGTGTGACGCATTCCAGATGTTCCGAGCCATCAGAATACCAAAAGGAGCTGACTGTTCATCTAAGGTATGTTAGACTAGCAGGTCGGCTCTTCCAGCTCACCCTGGGAATAGGTTTGGCCCTAATCAATACAATGACACCAGCTCTAATTGTGGGGTCACACCATAATATCCACAGGGACTTAGATATGAGAAACCCTAAAAGAATTGCATACTGGCCACAAACGCCTTATAAGACCGAGTTCCTCACTACAGTACCATGAGGAGATTTAGGCTTTTGTGCAAAAGTTTTGGATACACATAGCAGAGTTTCCCCTTACATTACACATACTCTTCCTGGGTCTTTTGCTTAGGTTTTCACTTAAATTACTCCAACATCAGCATCAAACTAACCTATATATGGCCTTTCTAAGGTTTGAACTGAGCCTAACTTTCAAAGGTAAATTACCAGATACTTACTGGAAGTCCCTGAAGCCCTGTGTCACCTGGAGATCCGGGTTTTCCTGGTTCACCCTGAAAAACATTTTAAGTTGTAATTTATGCAAATCAAACAAAAGGGAAAATTTTATTTCTGGAACACAGAGCTGGAGTACTTTTGGATCTGTAGGATGGGAAAGTTCATCCAATTACCCTAATAATGTGCATAAAGCCACAAGCAGCAGCACAATAAAAAGCCACAAATGAGTGAACAAAACTAGGGCACTACTGAAGCTCAGATACACGCCAAATGTGCCTTACTTTTGCTCCAGGCATTCCAGGGATCCCTTCCCGGCCATCGACTCCTGGTAAGCCCTTGAAAGAAAAAAAAAGAAAAAAAAATTAATGTATTTTTTGGAGACATTCCACCCAAGCACTCTGATATACAAATTAGCATGACATGAAGCAAATGAAGAAATGAAATATACATACAGACTCTCCTTTAGGCCCAGGGAGACCATTTATTCCTCTTGTACCTTGAGGGCCCTAAGAATAATAATAATTTTAAAAAATGAAAATAAACACATTGAAATGACAGATGCAAAGAATGTCAACACATACTTATTCAGATACGCATTACTTTGAGAGTACCAATTATGCTGTATGTTTATATGCTATAAGTAACCAATGTTTGCAAGTCAACACAAGTTGAAATTTGTCTGTGCTCACCCTTTCTCCCTTCGGACCTGCCTCTCCCAGTGGACCTCTCTGTCCTTGATCCCCCTACAAGAAAAAAAGAAATATTATTTTAGCAATAAAACCAGAATAAACTTACTTGTATTATTAGCTAAAACCTCCAGTAAATCAACAACAGTACAATTCACACTTGGTTAAAGCAGACATCTTAAACTCATACTATATTTAAAAATGCAGTTTCTTAAAACTGCGTCTGACGGCTACATTTTAAAAAACACAGTTCAGGCCATCCCCTAGGAATCCAGGAGCATATAAGCAAAGGATGTTGCACTCACTTCTTCAACCCATACAGTTACTGGCTATTTCCAGCATAAATTCCAGCTGGGGGGGCAGGGAGCAAAGAAGAATTTTAAAAAAAAAAAAAGACACAAATCGCCCTGTACAGGTTTTATTCTAATGAATGAATATTTTCCAGTTTAAAACTTGAAAAATTCCAAGCCACCCTAATGCACAGTAGCACTCAGAATGAAGAGGTAACAATAACATACTAAGATGCTAAAATGTGTTCATCTACCCCATAATTCCTTGGGGACAGTAAGAGATTCTGGACTTGACATCACTGTCATATCCTTTATTCACCTGTGGGCAATCAATGGAATTGGATTAATCAGAGGCTTTTCTGATTCACAGCTACAAAGTTTCAGGACTTAGTATCTAACTGGGTAGACCCTGGGAAGTGTTTGGCTAACACACACTCTACTTACAGGTGCACCAGGAAGACCTTGGGGACCAGGCTCACCATCAAGCCCACGAGCTCCCTACAAAACAAGGAGATAACACGAGACATTAAAATGAAGTGCTGAAACACTAACAACTTATGCTCCCTCCTGGTTTGCTGGGAGCTGCAAATTCTCTACAGCTGAGGTTTTTGTATAGCTCTAATTTTAAAAAGAAAAACCCACAAAGGAGTTTTGGCAAACTTTTTTTTTGATCTAGCTTGTTTTTCTGTGGAGTTATGAAAGCCAATATTTTTTAACCATGGAAAAACGTCGTTCAAAAAATGGCATTCCATTCATTCTCAAAAAAATCATATCGGACAGCGAGGAGGTAGATCTTTTCACGCTACTTCAGAAAATGTCTGTGTCTTCCTTAATAATACTATATCCTTCACCACATAATAGAATAGCATCAAAATGTGAGCAGAAATCATCAAGTGCAGTGCAGGTATTTTTATCAAGTGTTTCAAGGAAACAATGCAATTGCTACCCTGTAAGTAATTTTAAATGGAGAGAAAAAACAAATGTTTTCAAAAAGATTTACAGAGAATAAGGAACAACTCTGTCAAACAGATGTAGTAAATATTTCAAATAGACAAAACAGCACAAAACTGTAGGCAAATAACTATGAAGAATTAGAAGATACAAAGAAGGCCAGAAAAGCAAAGTAAGATAGTAATAGCTTAGCAAATGTGTCTGAGAGGTTAGGAAGGATCACTCATGAGAAGTTTCATAATCAGGACAAATCTGATGTTGTTTCTGAACATAGATGATCACAGAATAAGGTTTCCATGATTTCATTTCTGGAGAAGGAGACAATGGCATGATTGCTACATTTTACTTCTCCAGAAATTCTTACCGTGTAGATTTAGCAAGATCATAAGAAAAGAAATGTAACAGTCAGTTTTGCAATAACAGTTAGAAACATTTCAATGAACAGCAGAAAAGTTAGCCAGCAAAGTCAGAGCCCATATAAACATGAATCCCACTGGTAGCGATTCAAGACACAAAAGATGCAAGAGACAGAAAGAATGGAAGAAGAACAAACTCTCAAAAATCCTGACAAAAACTGGGACAGTGGAAGCAAAAGGCTTCAGGAAGATGCAAATCACAGAAGGGACTACTTAATAAATTTTAGCTTTAAATAAAACATGCTGTAGTTTATAACTGTTATAACTTGCTATCTTGCTAACTACGTACTTGCACACATGCCAAACTACTATAAATCCAAGGATCAGAGGGAAAGGTGTAAAGAGTACATGTACTTCATTAATCAGAAGGACCAAGCTGCCTTTCTTCCTAACCAGAAGTACAGTAGCTATGGAAATACAGCTGGCAGGAGAGAGAAAATGCAGGGAAAAAAAGGAGACATTTAAATTTAAAAACATTCAGGGGTGTACATTTCTTTATCCAGGCCATTTTATGGAAAGAAAGGTTAATACTCACTTTGGTACCTTTAGGTCCCATTATACCAGTTATACCTCTGATACCTAGGATGCCCTGAAAACGAACAGTATATTCAAATTATGCTTAAATGTTTTCATCAGAACTGTCCTAGTTTTCAGACAGAAGACTCAGAGTTCTCCATGCTTTCTTTATGCTTTCTTTATATTTTCTTAGTATAAAAGGAGAAATCCAGCTACTTCTGTATTAGAATATTTACTTTATATGGTAATTTGATATTTTACTAATTTAAGACTTTTTAAAAGAATAACAAAACTATTAGGTTGAATGCTACAACCACAAATATGCCTTAAGGACTGAAAAAAAACACTGATTTCTCTTCTTAACTACCATAGAGTTGAAGCATTCTCCCTGTGCAGCCTGTGTGAGAGGGACACATGAAGGCCAGATTTGCAAAAATGCTAAGTTGTCTTCAGTGGGGTATAGGACAGATGCAGGAGAAAGGCACCATCAGACTTTATAGAACTCTAGAGGTAGACAAAATTGGGCAAGGTTTTTGAGAATACAAGTGCTAAGTTTATATGCCCGCTACTCCTGAGAGGCTGGACTGAGTAGACATCCTAGTGCAGCAGGATGTATCATAACTATCATCACTTCCCTTCAAAATACAGTCTCGTGGGAAATTTGGCTTCAATTCTTTCCTCTTCCTGAGAGACTGAAACTACATGACACGTCTCCTCTCTGCAGAGAGACCAAACCCTCAGCCATAACGTGTTTGTCCTGCAGCAAAAAGAATGCGCTACAACTGTGTTAATGAAACAGCTACAGGCACTTCAACGCAATGTAGGCAAACCTACTCCTTGACCAGACTCTAGATGGGCAGTCCTTTTACTTGCTCCTAACGAAGTTACATGGAATCTTGCACAGAACATTTAAAGCTTTGTCATCCCAAAACGTGAGAAAAATCGTGATAATGCAACAGTGACTACAGCAGCCCAACAAGGGAGAGACCCACAGTCTAATCCTTGTTCCAAGATCAGAGATGGAAGTAGGCACATTGCGGTACCCACTACTATCTATCAAAAGCAACCCCTCTCCCAGGTTGCTATCTTATGCAAGTCTTCTTGTCAATGCATTACGTGAAAGTGTTGGATTGCAGGTGCTGCTGCGGAGACTGGATTCCTAATGCCTTCTATGGATCTGAGCTTCACATTCATTTATGTAAGAAACATACAAGAATCATAGAATCATTACGGTTGGAAAAGACCTCTAAGATCATTGAGTCCAAGAAAATACAACACAGTTTACAGCCTCTCCATCTGTGTCTCTAAAGCCTTGTCTATCCTCTTTTCCATAGGTTGTCTGTGACATCACTTTCTGCATATTATGAATCATACATTTTAATAAGAAACAATTATTTTAAAGCTTGTTTGTAAGGTCATCAACTGGTGAAACAGTGAAGTGAAATGAGTAATGCATTAAAAAAAAAAGGGAAAGGAAAGTCAATCTCTAATTGGTTTTTAATTCTACTGTGTTATTTCACAGCGATTGAAGAACTTTACCGAACTGAGTTAAATGAATTGCTCCCCACAGGCCCTTCAGACAGCAGAAGCTGTATCTCACACAAGTACTTTCTCTGCACCAGGGCGCCAAGGATACTTTTTTCAGCATCAAACATAAGAAGGATTACACCCTTTCCTTTACTTAGTCTCTGCTCTTTCTTTATCTTTCTCTAGTCCTAATCCAGAGGTTTATGTTGTCTTGTGTTTATAGAGAATTCTGTAATTTAGGATTTGGATGTCATATGCATCAAGGTAAGCTCCTGTATAATATCACATCTGGACACCAATGGCATTAAAGAAACAGTTTCGCACCTAGGAAAAAAGCATAAGACCCCATCAGAAAATAAATTATAGAAATTAAATGTGTTATGCCTATGCCTATTTCTCTTACTTAGAATGACCCCTTTATTCTGTTCCCTATTGCCTGTTCAGCTGTGGTAACCATAAGAAGAGCTCCTCAGAAGGAAACAAGCTGAGGAGGTATGTGCCAGAACAAAGAAGTCAAGTGAAGCAGGACAAGAAAATAATTCCAAAATCATAGGTGTGATTGAAGGATGCTTCTTTGGCAGGCAAAAAGGCAAAAAACTTAAGAAAAAAAAAATTAAAAAAAAAAACTATCCTTCAGTGGCTGCTACTTCATCCTCAAGTTTTAGCTAAGCCTGAATTTCAGTTAACCATGTTTTAAACAAACACCAGCTTTGCAAGGATGAAGTCAGTCATCAAAATTCTGGAAAGGAAGGCCAAGAAAACAAAACAAAAAAACCCCCAACTATTTGCACCATCTAAGCACAACACAAAATTTAGGACATGAAATACTTTTTAAAATAAGCCTTTCCATAGAACTATTTAGAGCTTTGTGCTAAGCAATATATGTAGCTTTTTGGTGGGACTTAAACAATTCTACTTTCACTCATAGACAATATTGCGGAATAAAGAGAAAGGAGATTTTATAATATCTGTTTTCTTACAATAAGAAGAAAAAAGGATATGACATAATAAAGCAAACGGGTAACACTATTCAAAAGGAAATACTTTACTGGAGGGCCTTGAGCTCCCACTTCACCACTGGGTCCTTGGTCCCCTTCTTCACCCTGGGAAAGCAAAAGGAATACATCTGTAGCTAATCCATACCATGCATATTGCTCTCTCATCGTAGGAGGTACATTTACTACTCACTGTTTTCTGTCACTATGTCCTGCTTGAAGGAAATCCAAATGAAGTCACACTACTTCCTCAGAACACAGACAGATACTCATTTAGGTTCACATTCCGTTCAACTATTAGTCAAAAGGGTAATTTCAAAGCAACCCCAGTATAAAGAATAATGATATTTTAATCTGTCATTCCTTTTTTTCTTGACGTTAATCCCTTTAGGTTTTCTTGTTCTTTTAGGCTGAAAGTGTAATGAAGGTATACTCATATATGTGAATGGACTGGATATGCCAGTAGCTCTGCATCACAATGCAGCACATTGCACTTCAGAGTTTTTTGAAAATTAAAACAGTAAAACGCCTTATCTGGTCAAACCCCTATTTGATTAGATGACAACATCTCTCATACAATGATAGTGCACACTAATGGAACGACAGTACTTACTGCCAGTTTAATTTGCAAAAAGGGATTTTGGAGCATAAGACAACTGCTCAACATCCAGGAAAAAAATACGCGAGCTGTTTCTAACAAATTAATATTCTTTTCAACATGCTTAGGAATAGAGAGCAGGGTTTTTTTAGAAAACTTTTCTCTGATTTTTTTTCCTCCAGCATTGAAGCATGGACCAAGGCAGTGGAAATCTTCTCAACTTTTCTCACAAATATTTCAATATTAAACAAGGTTAATTAAAATGAAACACCTTAAAAGAGTTCACATTTCAGTCTTCAAGCTGAATCGGACTTGGCCTCTTTACTATAGTTATAATCTTTCTTTGCGTATGAACTTATACTGTGTCCTTTCCCTCTCAAATACATTTTTCCCTCTCATTCTTCCTGTTACTACTCATCTGTGCCACAGAACAATTCACTTGGTAAATCCACAGAATTCTTCTGCAGGGACAGGCAGCTCGAGGACAACGACCGAGCCTTGTGCCCTTGAGGCATGAGAAGGCAGGTGGGCAGAGGATAAAGGAGGAAGTAATGAGCTGCTGAAAAGGAGTAAACAAGATAAAGGCCATGAAGGCATGTCGGGTGATCAGGAAGATCCGGCCAATCCGCTAGAGCATAGATGTGCGTGAACACAAGGCTGTAACCAATCTGCAAGCTGCAGATGGCGCGTGAAACACTTCTGTTTGCTATAAAGAACGCCGATAAAGAGCAGTAAGGGTCGTTGGCTGCTGCCTGCCAGAGTCCATGCCAATAATCCTCACATTCTTCTGCATTTAAGTCTTTGGAAGCTTTCCAATTAATAAATTTTACTTCAATTTTTGCCATGAGTTCCATAATAATTATATTGAATTATCAAAATAAAAAGCAAGAGGACTGTGACTTCTGCATCATAATAAATACAGAGTACAGGTGAATGAAGAATAGAGATATGCCTTTGGTTACTGTGGGTCATTATGATATGTAGTATCTCTTCATGCATCCTGGTAAAACAATTAATAGTTCTAACAAAATATAATACTGTTTTTGAAGAAGAGGCTAAACTACTATTAGCTCGCTAAAAACAACGCAGTTTTTTCTCTTTTTTTTTTTTTTTTACCTTATAACCTTGTTTTCCTGGTTCACCAGACTCTCCTTTTGAACCTTTCTGTCCCTAAAATAAATGTAAAAAACAAAATAAATAAATAAATAGAGTTTATTCAAAATTAAAATACTGAGTTTCGCGAAACACACGGAATCCTCAGAACTATCTTGCTGTTCCTTCTGCAATCCCCATTTACCACTGCTTCCTCATCTATCTAGTTAACACCACATATCAAGTACCATGTCCAAAAAGATCTGCTCCTGGACCTAACAAGGCTGTATTTCTAGGCAGGTTAGTATTTCTTCTTACATGACCCCATAACAATTTCCTCAGGCCAACAGTATTCTTAGAAACCAGCAAAGAATACATTAAAAAAAAAAAATCTTAATAAAATGAGACTCAGAAAGTGTTCATTTCAATTTAGTACGTTATAGGTCTCCCAGGAAGAGAGAAAGAAGGAAAAAAGACTAAGGATTTGGGGGAATATTGAGAGTTTCTGGAGTCAGACTACAAATGGTCCAGAAAGTGAACGAAGCAATCCTTCACATACTCTAATTCTTTCAGGGCCACACATAAATTTTACCCTGAAGATTACACCACCACTAAGAGATTTAAACAACAAGAGGTTATTTTGGCAGTCAAGAATTGAAATAACCCTAAGCATCCACACTGATGCAATGTTTTTTGAAATTAAAAGTGAACTGCCCTTCTGTTAAGCCAGCAGTTACCCTCCCTAGCGCTTTGAGACAGTATCTCTGTAAGGAATGCTTGAACAAACAGATTCTCTTACCTTCATTCCCATTAAGCCAGCATGTCCTGGGCGGCCAGGTGGACAAGCACTGGGACACTGGAAAAGCATCCACATAGTTACTACCATGTAGGTTGAATAAAGTTGTCTGAGATTATTTTAAAATAACAAAACAAAACAAAACAAAACATGGACAACTATCTTACCAATGGGTCACCATCTTGCAGGCCAATTGTTCCCTAAATTAAATGAAATTAATCAAAGTCAGTAAAAGAGAAATAACTAAACCTGACTCATTAGACAATATAGTCATTAGACAAAACAGAAAATACTGCTATCTAAAGCTTGAATCAGAAGTATAATCAACCAAAGGATCTCCAACATGAAAAGCACCTAAATTCTAGGATTTTATTGTAGGATTGCAGGTACTGTAGGATTTTATTGTAGGATTGCAAGTACCTGCAAAATCCTGTCCTCTAAATTAGATCAACTTTTCCAAAAAACAAATTATTTATTTTATTTTTTAAGCTACCTAAAACATATTTTCTATTAAATGTAGAGCAAATATATCCAAACCCCATGAATTTCCAACAGAACCCAAGACAATTTCTGTAATAAGGATAACTTTTACTTGTCCAACTTACCATTCAGCAAAAGGTTCAGATCTTTACAGAGAAAATAATCTTCCCACAACACAAGTATTGGTAGACGAGTGAGATGTCTGGCAGTTAATGGAATTGTAATAAACTAGAGATCAGTGTACAACGAGATGGACTCGGGGCGGGGGGGAAGGCCATTCCTCATATTAAATCAAATACTTGATGGAAGCTAACAGGAGGCTTATGAGGCACAACAGGAGAAATACGATTTCACAGCAGCAGCTGGATTCTTTGAAACAGTGTGGTCCCTCTCACTGGGCTTTAGAGAGAAGCACAGGGAGTTTAAGGTATGAGCTGGTCTCCTTTTATACAGAAGGATTAAAAAAAGGTTGATGTATGTTTGGGTCCATAATGTCATCAACTGGAGTGGGATTGTGGCACTTCAGAAATCTAAAAAGGACAAAACTACCAAGGAATAGAAGCAGCATATGCCATTACCGAGAATTCTTTTTTACTTGTTTCCTAATTATTCTTTGCCACTTTACCATTCATATCATTTACAATGCCTTGGAACGGTACAGCTTTTACAAAGACATTAGTATGACATGTTTCCCAGAGGTTTGCATTTCACAGCATCCAGCCTCCGATGTGTCTGCCAAACGCTCCATTTTATCTCTCTGGGCAGGTAAATAACCACAAGACAAAGGCATAACACACATCCCTCCTCCCAGGAGGCTCAAAGAAGATAACCATTCCCCTAGAGAGGCAAAGCACTGGTGTAAAGCTTTCTTCTATCCCTTGCAAGTAGCAGGCCTGGTTGCAAGAAAGACATTAGAACTTAGCCCACCTGGGAGCATATATTTCTGGCTCATGAGCCAAATAAATATTAAATTTTTCTCTTCCTAACAGAGGAAAGTCTATCTCTGCTGAAGTACTACTGGTGAGGTCCAACAAAGACTATGTTTACAGTAATACTGTAACGCACAGGGAAGTTTAAAACCTGTAAAAGTTACAGTTTAAGACCATTTGTAGAAATGGGAAAACATCATGACAGAAGTTACACAGTTTGCATTTCAAACTATATTTTATAACCATGAAGACTAGAAACTTGCTTTCTAAATGGAAGATCGAATGTTGATATGATTAAATGAGTTGTATCTCAGGCTTTGAACACAAGCCTGTAGACATTATGAATTAATACAGCCTGCTGAAATCCTAAAGTCGGTATTCAGCTGTAGGACTTGAGGAGAAGTTTTATTCAAGCAGCAACAATACGTAATTCAGACATCAGCACATATTAAAGGCAATCACTTACCCGAGGGCCTGGCGGTCCTGGTAGCCCTGGTGGCCCTCTTTTTCCTGGATCTCCCTAAAAAAGGGTAAAATAATTTTGTTAAGTCATAGTAATAATAACAACCACTAGTTACGTATTCATACCACACAACAACAGTGAGAAATTAAGTAGATACAGAAGGACATGCTAGGTAGCCAATTAAAATGTCAACCCACAAAATGGCTCCCATATTAGAATGGGAAAACCGGTTTTTTAGTAGAATGGGAGCCATGTTGTGGAATAGGAGCCACAAAAAAACAGTAAATTTCCAGCTGCTTTAGAAAGCTGAAACATCTGACCACAGGATCATCTATGCACTCCTCGATCTCATAACTGCTAATTAAGTTCTGAATTAAAAGAATCCTAGCAACTGGCAAAAATGCCCAAAGCACAGAGAGGAAAAAATCCCCTTTTTCAGAGCCCAAGATGAATTTGCCAAGTTAGAATCTTCTCCTGTTTGTGAAGTTTTGATGTCCAGTGCTTTCAGAAGTAAAGACAACACAGAACCTCTGCAAATTATTTTTTCTGAATGCTTTTAATTAAAATGAATTTAATATTCTGACAGGGACCACCTTTTAACTTAATACTGTCATTTCAATATTATGTTTGGTATGTTATTAAATCATAAATGAAATTAAAAAGATGAATATAGAAAAATTATTCACTAATTCTCACAATGCATGAGCTATAGAGCCATAGGTTTAAAAACACTGAAACATTCTTTTCCACACAATGTATAATTACACTGTGGGACTCATTATCTCAATGTGTTGTGGAAGCCCATGATATAAATGGATTCAAAAAGGGACTGACTATATTAATGGAGGATAGGCTCATATGTAGCTTTTTAAACAGGCAGCACAGATGCAATGTCTGATTCAGGCAGTCTCTGAACTGCCAACTGCCAGAATGTGGGACAGTATGACAGAAAAATGTCATTTTACAAATAGCCTGTACACTTTCCTAGGTATCCATTATTGCCTTTGCTACAGACAAGAGAGTGAGCTAGATGGATCATCTTCTGAAACAAATTGGCAGTTTTTAATATTCTTTTTTATATTCATTTATATGACTGAGTGCAACACACAGGGAAAGGTATGCATTAAAAAGTAGGCTTCATTAAACAAAATTTTAATGCTATTTCAGGTTTCAAGTAAAAAATTAACAATTGGCTTCAATCTGCATTTCAGCGGTAAAGTATGTAGTCAAAATATGACAGTATGCTGAAACTGAGTGCACAGTTTAGCAGTAAGGTCAGTAGATGGAGTCACACTTAAAATGAGGCTAAGAAGAAATACTGAATTGCCATGTTCACTGATATGCAAATGGAAAACAGATATAGTATGTGCTCATGTACCATAATGTATATGTGAGAAGACAGGAGTACAGCTAAAGGTCTGCGCATAATGTTTAAGTTTTACACTTCCTGTATTTCTGGCAGGTTTGCTTTTTGATTTTAGCTTTCCTTGAATAAGAAGAGAAGTAGAGTATGGGACACTATATGAAACATTTAATTCTAATCTAATGGGTGGCCCTGACTTTGTGCTATTCACTGTTCCTTATTTCTGATGAGCTTCAAACACAATCTTTCCTCTACCAGTGATCACTGTAGAGGAAAAAAATATGTTTTCAAGTGCAGTTATAACCCAAATAGTGTTTAGATGGTACAGTAATTATTCATTTTTCTATAAATACCTTCTAGCGATTGAATAAACCTAGATTTTTAGCAAACATGGTAGTACTTACAGGTGGACCAGCACGACCTACTTCCCCAGGAAGTCCTGCTGCACCAGTTGGACCCTATAACAACCAAGTTAAATAGTATTTTTAAAACATACAATACCTCTATAACAAGCATCCAAGGAGTGAGAACATGTAATTCTCTCAAACAACAAAATATGCCTTCAGACACCAGTATTCTTGCCCATATAACACAGACCTAAGCAACCTCAGCAGTAGCTGAAGAAAGCATACATAATAGACATAGAACACCAGGATTAAAACAGTCTCTTTTTTCACTGAATTACTTTTTATTACAGTATAATAGCTTTACTGAATATTTTAACAGATTCATTAAACAATGTATTTATGAATTGTAAAAATTATACTTACAGGTGGTCCAAGAAGCCCCTTGCCCTGTAAAATATGAAAAAAGGTCAGAAGTGTGGGGAAGGTTCCACACCTAGTCAAGCTGTCCGCCAAGAACAGAGTATTTGGGATAACAAGGTACAAAAAAACCCTGATGTTTGATTCTGCAAAATCATTTTGAAAACTTGTTTAACTAATGTTAAATATCAATTTTATTATTAGGTAATCAATATCATGAGAAAAATTAAATTATTAAGTTGCCTTGCAGTAGCATTTATTTACATGTATTTACAAACACATATGCTTCCACAAAGGAATGAAGACATTAAAGCCTTTGGGTTTAGCTAATTATCAAGTAACATGATAAACACATATATGTTATAATCACTTCCTTCTAACAGAGCATTTAAATTGATAATAAAAGAGAATTTTTTTTTTCTTTTGCCAGTGCTTCCCCAAGGTCTAAATCCATTAAATTAGTGCTTTTTGGTAACCAGAAAGAACACCAAACTGCTCCTGTTTACATTTTCCACCAGTATTGCTCTGAATCATTCTAATGAGAAGTGTCCAAGATACAAATGTGTTTCTGCCTACTTGGACAATACAATCCCTCTAAGAAAACAGATCCCCCAGTCTTGCATTACTAAAGCAAATGGATAATTTTATGGAGAACAGTGTCAATGATGTGTATGAAACACTGGCATATAAAATCACAAACATACTTAAATCTTCAGGAGATTTGATGTAATAAAGCGCCTGGGCTGAGTGGAGTTTAAAAGCCACAGAATATCATACCACGGCTGTATCTGCAAGGTTGTCTTTAGAAAACTTGGTATAACACAGGGAAAATTTCAAGCGTTTATCAGTCATTCCATTTTAACCATTTAATACACAGCAGAAAGTAAACTTTTTCATCTTCCATAACCTACATAATACCTTTGCTATTACTTAACGCTCCCTTGCTGAAATACATTATATTATATATAATATAATATATATAATATATTATATAATGAAATCAAACTTTCACTGCATCACATATCTGATATTATAATATCACCTGCCTCTGTAAAGAAGGAAACCGACTACTTGCAGGTTCTCGTTGAAGTATCCCTTGCTAACGTGCCCCTAACAGTAGCTGGGAAAGTCAGTGATACCAAAAGAAGCAGCTACAGCTGCTGTGTCCAACCCACAAACAGGTCCAGGAGAACCCAGTCCCCCCCCCTCTGCCCGCTCCATTGCATCTCCTCACCCTCCTAATTAGGACTCCAAGAAGCAGGGGCTGTCCCCTAGAAATCCATGCCTCCCTCTCATCCAGCTACTCCACCCTTCCGGCCATGAACTCCCTGCAAGCAGACCAAGTTGTGGAGTTGAGAGCTCCAGGGCAATCAGCCAGTAAGGGCCTACACAGAGCAGTTAATGACCCCAACCAGCTGCCCATGTTCCTGCCTCTATCTGTATCCTAAAGGGAAAGCTTCTCGACGCAGCCTGGGACTGCAGCCTTACATCCCCAGATGCCTGCTTTGGAGGTTCTTATCTGAGCCACGGAGCACATGGAGTGCACGGGCATGGGTAGTAACCCACAGTCTGTCAACACCTGGTTCAGAGACACTCACCCTGTAGATCTGGTAAGTACCTCCACATCGTCAATGCAGACCTGCTGCCATCCACCACGAAGAGTCACATACCAGTACTTGTATGTGTACCCTGTGCCGGAAGCTGTGCTTTAGTAGACCTTAAAATATTTTCAATTTCTCCATCACTAAATGCACACAATCCTACCCATATGTCAGATCTGTAAAACACTAGCAATGTATCAGCTAATAGAAAAAAAAAAAAAACAGTGATAATAATTTAAAACTAATAAATGTTGTATCCAAGGCTTCTGACTTTCTGTTTGCACTGAGCATTTTAACAACTTAAGCAAGGGTTTTTTGTGAGAAATGAAGTCTGTGTATAACCATCCAGAGACTACTCCACTTGCAGAAGGCCACTGACTGAATTCAAAGCAGTGCATAATTACACCTAAATACTCAATTAATCATGTAACTAGTATGCAGACTTATAAGCGTGCTCACTATGTTTCTAGTAAACAAGGTCTCATGGATCAAACCAAAGACCTGCAAAGGCTAAACAGCCCCACTACTTCATGCTTGTAGTAAGAGCTTCTCAAAATGTCTCTGAATCTGAGAATTAGAACCATCACACTCTAGCACTACCACTTCTACCCTTCCTTTTTTTTTTAACTAGGTTTCATTACTCTAAGTTTAATCTCACTAAAGGTGAGATGACCGGTGTTGGCCATTTTGAGAAACTTCCACAAACTGCTCTATTTCTTCAGCAGCTTAAAGCCATTCATCAAAAGGCAAGCCTGTATAAATGGAATTTTCCCAAGAGATTTATTATGAGCATTAATCTTTCCATCTGGATTCAGCATATACAGGTTAACAACCATGGAGCTCCAAAATCAAACAGTAGGCTTCTTCCTAAAATGTGAGGTCTAAGGATTAACCTTAACCTTAATAATTACAAGGGTAATGACACGAGGTGACTAAGTATATCCATCTTTTCTTTACCTTTAAATAACTAAGAATTCTCATTTCCTCATTATAAATATTCCTGCAGATTCACCTTTAAGTACAAGGTCCAGTTGCTTATTAAGCAGAGGCAGAACAACTCCAAAGGCAATCCCTACTGAGGTTCACTGAAGCGTTATCACCTTAAGACTGAGAGTCTCAGGGCAAACAAAAATCACTAAACTTTGAACAATGGTCCAAAAATCTGATCACATTTATTGCTTTTACAGGCTCAAAATATGGTCACAAAAGACCTGAATCAGGTAAGTGCTGCTCTGAATGGAATCAGCATTCTACCTTGGCAAGTTGGTTCAGTTTGCTGCTTTCCCATAGTAACATCTCCACTTCTAAGTTGAGATTAACCCTCTGTATGTATATTTTATATACCCACTTTTTCTGAAGGCTTTTAAATTATTTGTTCTCATATTAGTCTGTTAATGGTGAGGTAAAATCATGTATATTTTCCCCAAGTCAGTTTTTATTTCAGTTGACAGGCTAAAATACTATAGTATTTTAACCTAGTATTTCAGTAATTCAGTTTTAATTCCCCATTTTCTCTCTCCCATAGTAGTTCTTTTCTTGTACACTTTTTTCCGTATCATCTGAGTAACATATCTGACAGAGTTAAGCTCTCTCTTCATTCTAGCTACACATTTTTAAATGCATTGCAAACAACCCAGAAATTATTTCCCCATCTACTTGACAGCAAAAAATGAAAATAAACCAAGAAACAAACAAAAAACCTCAAACCCCTAACAGAAAAATGTAGGGCTTTCAGTCTACCTAGAAGCTACCTCAGTTCTGCTATTTTCTGTGACTAAATTTAGCTCATATATAGAGTCTACAGATTGGCCAGCCATTATAAAAGTATTACCTGTTTTCCATCCATGAAAATTAAATGCAAATGTCCACATAGAATGATTCATCTTAAGTTTGAACGTGTCTCTAATGTAATGTCTTCAAGAATAACATTATAATTTCCTCTTGGGCCAAATATCAAAATGATTGTTTAATATAAATTTAATGAACGTCAATGGGACAGGGTCAAAAATACAAAGATACAGTCAAAGATACAGAATTTCACAGCAAGAAGTGCTATATCAGAATACAATGCCTCTTCTATTTAATTCAAATAATTTCTCCAAAATGAATCTAATTTTTAATTAAATTTTAATCATGTCCAGTCCTATTACAATTTCATGCCAGTCATCTTGTTCCATTACTCATTTTCCTTGAGGTTTTTCCTGGTTTCCTATATAATCTAAGTACCTACATGCCAACCATCATTCACTTCTTCAACCCTGTAAAATTCCTAAAATTCACAATTATTTTCAGCCCCCAAAGACGGATGTTAAATCCATCTGCATGCCAACTGGAACAGTACTCTTTGCATGTCCTTTCTCATATTTTGTCTTGTTTTCATATGGAACAGCACAGGAAGTCCCATACAGCATTTACACTTCAGTGATCCCATTTAAACACATGGCAAGGAGCTGAAACAGGAATAACTGTAGACTAATTTATGCAAATAAAACATGGGCTCTCCTGTCTCTACAGCATTTTCACAAAGAGATGGAAAACAACGGTATGCGTCCAAAACTTGTGACCACATCACACACGCCCCTTTCTTTTCTACAGCATATACAAACCAAACATGCCCTTTCAGTAGTATCTGCACACTTTGACGTAAAGACAAGAAGGTTCCTTAATGTGCTATTTTAGTATCTTATGAGTTCTTTGAAACCTCAGAAATAGTTTCTGGCTTTTCTTCACTGGATTTAATGGTAAGAATCCTTCATATTGATACTTAAGGTCTGAAAAGCCTCTTCATATACTAAATGTATTACTTACCGGAAGTCCGCGAGCACCTGGCAGTCCTGGCTCACCCTTCGGAAGATAAAAATGGAGTTTTTTCAAGAGGCGTTAGCATAAAGTTTTGTAAACAACATACAGGAAGATGCTGTCACTTTTTGGAGGGTATCAATTAGTGGGCATATTCTGCAATTATTATTATTCACTTCATTAACGCTATGCTGGTTTCAGTGAGACTTGATAGAAAGGAAAGACTTTCTCAATATTAAAAAGATACAGCCTCAGGCCTTCTTTTCCCCCAAAAAAAATAATTCAAACATGCTGGTTACTCTGACTTCTGATGTGTATTTCATTTCTCTGATTGCTGATGAAGTCAGGTTTCACTGTTCTGGTTCCCACTGCTTATTACTATGACATAATTACAGTACAACAAGATGGAAAGAGCCTCACCGTTACTGAAGGTGCTCAACCTTAATGTCATCAATGTAATGCCACCATTCCTTACGGCTGGCTGGGGGAATGGAAGTTGCTTTGTACTGTATAAAAAGGGTCCAATGGGTCTGTATTCTATAGATGCTTTAATATAGTAAGAAAGGCTGCAGCATCACATTAGTTGCATAGAGACAAACAAAAATCCTGCTTTAAAAAAAAATCCTATTATTTCATGCACAATTTTGTTCTTACCTTCTGTCCTTTTGGTCCTGTGGCTCCACCTGAACCATCAGGCCCTGTGAATCCCTTTGGAAGGAATGTATACAATGTTGATACAAAGGTTACATGGTTTCCTTAATGACAACAGAAAACATTCTAAAACACAGACTAATGAAGCTATTAAACGAGATAAATAACTGCAGGAGACTTACAATTCAAATGCCTATTTACATGTACAGGTAGAACTGCCCAAGTTCAAAGTACTAGCTTTTGGTGACAAACATCAGTGCCTGTGATATGTATCCTTCAAAAATTACTCAGTTAAATCAGAATTAAACTAAACACATGATCGCAAATGATCTTATTTTCTCTCAATGGGAGGTTGATTAATTTAGTTCATGGCTCAGGTTAAAAACAACAACTGTCAGTGTTTTCCATTTCAAATAAATCATCCATTGACCAAAAAAAAAAAAAAAAAATCAACAAAGCTGCCAGGCTGGATTTGAGGTTAGTCTTTGGACCATACTTGTCTATCTTGCTAAAATTAAAAAGCAATCATGATATTATAACTATGAATTCATTTGGAGTTCTTTTGTTTTCTTTTGTTTCCAAAATTTTAACCAGTTTTTAGAAATTTCCAGATAAGAAAAGCCTTGCTTTTACGTTTGTCCAATACTTTTCTTTTTTGGTACACTTCCAGCAATTCAGTGTTCACCCAAAGGGGCATTTTCTTTGATAATTTGCTTTCAAAAGCTTACATGATCATTACAGGCAATTACTATATAGTATCTTTACTCAGTCTATTAAACCTGACACTGAAATAGTTTGTGAAAGAAAAACGAGATTTAAAAAGTCAGAACTGCCTCACCAATTAAACATGGAAGAAGGTATTATAAATCTAAAAACCCAATTAAAAGTTGAATGCACAGTGGGAGTACATTAAGGTCTCATGTTTTGTCTTCAAGTGAAAATAAAAAAGGTTCACAATTTCAGAAGACAGTATTCTACTATTACAGTTTCATTCATCCACTAATATGAGAGAATATATAAGTGCAAACAAATATCAAAAGCTGAGCTGAGTTTAAAACGTTCTGTTTCACCTGATTGTGTTACCATGAATTCTGGCAAGGAAAACAAAATCATGCCTCTAGTGACAATTACAAGAGGCAATGGTTTTTAAAGATCTGCTTATGGGTTTTTGACATGTACAGATGGATTGTGGTCCTGTATTGTTTTCAGGAAAAAATGAAGTGGTATGAGATACCACTCATGGCAAGCCCATCTCATCTTACAGATCTGAAATTTGAAGAGTTTAACTAAAGCCTGTTTCAGCTCCATGTCCACCACATCTCTTTTCAAAGCAAATTAAAAATTAAGGTCTAATAGTATTGCAATCTTCAATAAATATTAGGCTTTTTCATTTATATAATTTGCAATATTCTCTAATATACTAGTTTGCTGTATATAATCTTTATTTTGGATGTTTTAAATTATAAAAGTATTCTACCACTTATGTAAATTAAACATAAGATTGCCTGCCTCCTGGCATAAGATCTAAGTACTAATGTAACAATCTTGCTTCATAGCAAGAAATGCTTTCAAACACCACTCGTGAGAGAAATACGAAGACTTTCCCAAAAATGTATGAAGGTGTTTTTATTGCCACTAATTTATTCAAGAGACACAACCTAACAAGCCATCAACACTAGATGATGTTGAAACTTTATTCTTCTATTATTATTTTCCACAGAGAAAGGAAGATATATCAGCAGGTTCAGGCTCTGCAGTGGCTGAAGTCTGGGAGGTTGGGTTTGGGTTGTGGGTTTTTTTTAATAACACTTCACCGTAACATCAGGCCTACAGGGCCGATCTGATTTTTTTTTTTTTCTTCCTATTTTCTCCGTTTTAGGGAGCGAGACCTAAAATTACTAAACACAAGCCCCCCACACACCCCCTTCGGGCATTGAACGCCCACAGCCCGGAAGAGGCCGGCCCGCCCTGC